ATTTACTCACCAAACACATATAAAACACTTTCGACATGTCAAATATTGTATCGTACAAACACTAAGTGCTTTACAGATTTTAACATCTTTAATGTTTGCAATGATTCTATGAGACAGGTATTATAATTATCCCTATTTTACAGATGAGGAAATGGAGGCATAGAAAGATGAACTTGCTCCAGGTCACACAGTGAGTAAGTGATAGTGCTGGAATTCCAGCCCAGGCCATCTGGCTCAATTATTCCTGGCTGAAATCTTTTGTTAACGCTGACCTTGGGTGACTTATTTAACTTCTCTGGCCCTTGGTTTCCACACTTGCAAAATGGGTTTGATGATATCTGCCTCTTCAATTGTGGTGAGGATTAAAATGGATGGTACATGTCAAGCCCTGTGCTCCCACTAGTCAGGGCTCTCCAAAGAAAGAGGCCATTGAGATATGTGTGTGTGTGGGGGGACGGTGATGGGTGGGCTTGGGGACCCCCAACACAGTCACTTAGCTGAGAGTTCCATGGTAGGGGGCGATGGTGGAGAGGTAGCTTTTAGGCAAGTGAACAGCAGAAAGCTCATAATGAAAGGGCTGTAAATGGGCCTTAGAGTGCCCAACAGGTGGGGAACTTGGAAGGTCTCTTATTCCTCAGAGGGTTTATGTGTCTGCTTCATTTCTCCACTCAAACCATCAAACTCTGCTGGGCCGGTCCCCTTTCTGCCGCTTTATCCCCCCAGCGCCTAGCGCAGGACTCTGTGATGTGGATGGTACCCTGCCCAGACCCCCTTTAGCTGGGAGTCTGCCTACTGTCCCGTGGCTGTGGGTTTGACCACTGAGTGGCTCACAGCTGCTCCTAGAACTTCTTTTGGTGAGTAGGTCCTGCCCCTCACCACCAACCCCCACAGCCTGCAATCAAAGACTGGCTGAGATGAAGGCACAAAAGGCTGTCCTCTCCTCTTCAAGGTGGGGCCAATTCCACGGCGCAATCTGTGTTGCAGAGCTCTCCGTGGAGTCAGGCTGAAGCTAGTTTCGAGCCTGGACCGTGTACTTGCTGAGTACTTGTCCCCAGCTCTCCTCTGTGTCCCATACCCTCTGTCATCTTCAGGTATCTCCTCCATCAATCACGTGCTCAGGAATCCCCATCTTAAGATTCCCGAGAACGAAGCCAGGACAGCAGTGACCAGACTCTGATGGCCACTGGGACCCCCACAACCATCTTTTGACGCATCTCTGCACAGCTCGTGGTGTCTTCGTGTCTGCAAAGGAATCTCTCAAGTCATATAAAGCTCTATCTTAGTACTGAGCCCATGAATTAAAGTGGAGAAGATGTTAAGTCTTGCTTTAGTCCAGAGTTCTGGAAGACAGGATGGAACAATAGTTGAATACGCAGTTTGGCTCTCAGACACAAACTTATCATTCACAAGTTTGTTTTCTCCCACAGCAGAGCTTAAGCTTGATGGAAGGGACTGGGGTGGGGTAGGTGCTCCAAGGGCCAATCTGATCCCATGGTAAGCACCTTGAGACTGATCATCACTCTAATGCTATGAGTAGAGACAAAGCCAATCACTATTCATGAAATGAATGACCCAGAATATAGCTGAGGTGCCCAGCCAAAGCACTGTACCGAGGAGACTGGACCTGCAGGTTCAGTTGTCTGGTGGACTGGGCGCTGTTTCCTGACCACGATTGTTCTCAGAACCCTGCCATATTGTCATTCCCGTGGGAATTAGCCACTGGGTGCCAAAAGGTGTCAACGCGTAAAGAGTGTTAACATACCTGTTAGTCAAGTACGTGCAAAGCAACAAAGAGACATCAGCGGAAACTAAGGAACGTGAACTCTGAATGTCTGGAAGGGTTTTTCATGATCTTCGTGAAGTTCTTAGTGTAAAAAGCAAAAGTCACGTCTCAAGGGTCAAAGTGGCCCTACGCACAGCTCTTGCAGGTACACCACAGGTCCTGCCAGTAGGGTCTGACACAAAGACCCCCATCGGTTTGACACTGAAACTTCTCAACAGTGACAGGGACGACTGATCCCAGAGTTGGATTAGCGGGACTCGTGGCAGGGACACAGATGCTGGGCTTGGGTTGTTTAGGAGATTGAAATGAAAAGCCATGGGTAGCTTAGGTAGCAGTCACCTTAGTACCTCCAGCCTTTCACCTCTGTGTACTGGAGTTTTACCTGCAGCTTACTGCCCTGTGACCGGTTTTAATCCTTGTAGGCAGTCAAGAGGGGATAGGAGGGGTTGAGAAACCCGGAGTGTACTGCCAACACTAACAGGGGTTCTGAACCCTCTTTGCGTTAAATCCTACTGCTGACACCTGCGAGTGTTGGTGCTTTGCCGAGATCTACTTGGTCCTCGTCTTTCTGCACTTGCCACTCCAACTTTCACCTGCCAGCACCTGTGTCCTTGTGCCTGTGGCCTTTCTGTGGCCACTGGAACCCGTTCTGCTGCAGTGCAGGCCAGGCCAGAGGTGCTGGGAGGTAACGGCCCAAGAATGTGGTCATCCTCCAAGGGTGGGCAGGGTGGCGAGGTGGACGTTCCTCTCTAACGGAGCGCCCCGCCGGGATCAAGCTGCTTTGCCCACAGTGGTGGCATCACCCTTGTCGGCTTCCTTCCCCTCCCCATCACTTCCCCATCACCTATCTCTGTCTCTTGGGGTCATTTCTCCCGCCCCTTAATTACTTGCACTTGACTCTTTGTCTCTGAGTTTGCTTTTGAAGGAAACTAAGCTGGTGCTTCATCTGACTGTCCTCACTGATAGAGCTCCAAGCTAGGAAGAAGCTGTGGGACCAAGAACCAACCTCGGTCAGAAGACTTAGAGTTGACTTCAAGAGATGGTTTGAAATATACAAGATGGACACTGGGCCTGACCCCGGTGATTGCGGAATGTCTTCCCTTTTTTACCAATCTCTGTAGATTCTCTCCTCACCTCCCCTTCAACTTGCAACCCCTCAAAACACCTTGCCTTCATAGGTCCAGGGAGAATCCAGCCACATTCCGATGATGCAACTGCTGTTAAAGACAGCAGATAACATGTAAATGAATGAGAGTGAGTAAACAAACAAATGAATCTATGTTCCAATAAAACTTTATTTGGCCCATCCTGATCAAGTTTAATAATGTTTAATAGATATTTTTAAAACATGAGTAATAGCAATTCCTCTGTAATAACAATTATATATGAACTCCTTGTCAAGATCAGCAGCTTGTTCCTTTACCAAAAAAGTAAAGCCGCCCTCTGAGGACAAATGGCACATGAGAGCGGTGTACGTTTCCTTTTCTTAAAAAAAAAAAACAACAACAAAGAAACCCCAACACTTCATATTTACATATTTCCCAGGTAAAAATTGGTCACTATGGTTAATTGTTTTTAAATATAAGTTTCTAACATGTTGCAGGTTTCAAGATACAGATCCTAGTTAGCTGATTAGATTTAAGGTGCTGTTGAGGTGAGGGTGAACGCAGCCTACGATCAACACTGGGGGATCCTCTGTTTACAGACCGGCTCCTATGGGCATCTCTGGGGGGAGCTGAACGCCAGTGGTGGAAACGGAAGAGCGTTTGCCGAGGACCGGGCTCCATGCCTCTGCAGAGGGCCTGCCATGCTACACGCTGTCCCCTGAGGCTCTGTGAACGAGTGCACCCCTGGCATGGCATGCCCCAAATTCATCCTGGTCTAAGCTAGGGAGGACATGGTGGTCTCCAGTCCTTTCTTTTGCCGTGGGGTCCCCATGCTGGTACCTGACCCCTGAGGGCCCTCAATGTCGGCACCCCACTTTGCAGACCTTCCTGCCTTTCTGGATTCCTTGTCCCCAAGTGCATTTCTTCATGGCCTGCTGTTTGCTGGGGCTAAATGGATGGTCAAAGTCAAGGGCAGAAATAACGAAGGTCAATGGGTCCTGTGTGAGAGCTGCTCTCCCAGCATATCCACTTGGTTGCAGGCACTTCACTGCTTTCCTCCAAAGGAGCAATTTGGGCTGAGAGCAGAAGCTCCCAAGGTAGGTTTGGAGCGGGGCTGTGTGTACGAGGGGCGCAGGGCAGGCTGCAGGAACTCTTGGAATTGCTGTCTTCAGACTCACCAGTGTACGGCATTCCCTGGGGAACAAGAGCTGTGTCACTGTGTCTGCGTGTGTGTCAGCAAAGTGCATAGGAAGTTCTGGAAAAGCTGTGTGCACAGGCCTGGGAGGATGGGTGGTTTTACCCACAGATCCCAAGCTGGTCTGATCTGAAACCGAGAGTTCAGATCACACCGGGGTGAGGCAAATGGGAATACTCAGTACTTGAGCCAGGGGGAAAAAAAAAAAACACCTGGTGACAAGGGGAAAGAAGCTGGCTCAATGTCCAGTTTCAGAATTCACGGGACACGGCTTTGAGTAAAAGCACACGGAATGGGTAAGCTGGCAATGGACAGGGAAGAAACGTCTTGAACCAAGTTTTCTAAGAAAAAGGCCAGTGTGACCCCAGTAGAGGAAGACGTTGTTTAGTGGACAGACACTGGCCTGGGGGCCAGGAGACTGGGATTCAAGGCTTGCCCTGACACAGACTAGGCCCCGATCTTACTAGCAGGTCACTTGGCTTCTCTGGACCTCACTGTGTTTCTCATCTGTCAGCTGAGGATGTTGGACCAGAGAGCGCCAACCCTCTCTGCCAGGTTCCTCTCCACGCCGCCACCCAGGTGGGGCCTCTGACTGCTAAGACCTTTCTGCCCTGCGCACCACCACTGATAAAAACACAAGGGCCTCTTCTTTGCTGGGTAAGTGATCAACCCCCCCCGAACCCCCAAACTAGAAACCTGTTCAAACACGCTCCCAGAGGTTAAAGGCTAGTTATTAAGGCAGTTTAAGAAATGGACATTCCTCTCGCTCCTCGGATCCTTCCTGTTCCGCTAACCCCAGGGCAGCAGAGAGGGGGCGGAAGGGCTGGTGGAGGTGCCAGGGGGGCGGTCCCCTCCGGGCGGGTCCGGCTTTCCCCGGATGGTTTCCAGGGGGTCGGCCTGGAGCGCCCCTCCGCCCTCACCACCTTTCTTTGGAGAAGGCCTCGGTCTGCACGAGGTCGCTGGGGTGCTCGGAGATGCACGCGCCATTGAGGTCGCCCAGTTTATTGTCTGGCAGGTCCTCGGGCTTGGTGCAGAGCTTCAGGGCGCGGGAGATGAACACGTCCAGGTCGAACTGCGGGCTGGCGCCCCCGTCGATGGGGGCCGGGCGGCCGGGTGGGGACAGGCGGCGTTCGGGGCCGTCGGGGGGCGGGCTGACGCCGCGCTCGGGGCCGCCCTGCGTGCTCTTGACCCACTGCGCGATCTCCAGGAAGAGGCTGGCCGGCTCGTCGTCGCGCGGCCCGGGGCCCGCGGCCACCCCGGCGGCGGGGGTCGCGCCGGCCGCCCGCTTCCAGTGCGACAGGTCCAAGATGAGCTTGGGCTCCGAGTAGTGGTGCGGCTTGCTGTCGCGCCACAGCAGCTTGTCCAGGTAGGACGGCGAGCCCACCGTGTAGTCACAGGAGCGCCCGTAGTCGGCCTCGAGGGCGCGCTCCATGGACGAGTGCGACCGCTCCAGAAAGCGCTCCGAGCTGCTCTGCGAGTCCTTGCGCGGGTCCACCTGCACGTCCTCCGCCAACGGCGCCGACCCCGCGCGCGGGTCGCGCTGCCCCTCGCTCGCGTCCTGGCATCGGTCGGGCCGCCACTCCAGGTCCGACGACAGGCTCACGGGGTACCTGCAGGTAAGACGGGACGCCCATTGGACACACCGCCCCCCGCCCGCCAGCCGGGGTGGCTTTGCGGAGGGAGCCAACCCCCTTCATCCCTGTCTGCCCCCACAGGCAGGCTTTCCATTCCTTCCCAGTCCCGTTCCCCCCGCCCCCCCCCCCCCAGTTCCTGCTGTCCCCCACCTCCAAGATGGGAGGGACAGGGACAAAGGAACAGTAGTGGTGAGCCCCCAGAGCTCAGGTGGAGGGACTGATTGTATCCTCTTGTATTCATTCAAGGGGCTTCTCTCGTAGCTCAATTGGTAAAGAATCCGCCTGCAACTCAGGAGAGCCCGGTTCGATTCCTGGGTCGGGAAGATCCCCTGGCGAAGGGATAGGCTACCCATTCCAGTATTCCTGGGCTTCCCTTGTGGCTCAGCTGGTAAAGAATCTGCCTGCAATGTGGGAGACCTGGGTTCGATTCCTGGGTTGGGAAGATCCCCTAGGAGAAGGGATAAGGCTATCCACACCGGCCTGGAGAATTCGATGGAATTCATTCAGTGTGTGTGCGTGCTAAGTCACTTCACTCATGTCCCACTGTTTGTGACCCCGTGGACTGTAGCCCGCCAGGCTCCTCTGTCCATGGGATTCTCCAGGCAAGAATACTGGAGTGGGTTGCCATGCCCTCCTCCAGGGGCTTTTCTGGACCCAGGGATCAAACCTGCATTGGCAGGCCCTTTACCACTAGGGCCTCTTTGGAAGCCCATTCATTCAATACCCTACAAATATTTCTTGAGCACCTCCTCTGTGCCAGGTGCTGTACTGGGCATTACTGGACACAGCAGGGAACAAAATCCTTGTCACCTTGGAACGCATTTTCTAGTGGATCCACCTATGTAGTGCTCCTCAAACTGTGATGTCCACACAAATCACCTGGGGACCTTGTTAGAACGCAGATCTTGATCCAGTAGATGAGGCGGGGTCTGAGAATCTGCATGTCTGAAAGGTTCCCAGGTGATGCTGATGCTACTGATCCACGGCCCACACTTTGAGTAGCAGGGCTTTGATAGGTGCTTCACCGCCTTGGTCCAGATTAGAATTGTGTGTGGGGGTGGGGGTGTGGGTGTGTGGATGGGTGGGGGGGAATTGAAAATAAAGTTCCATGCCCGCCCCGCGCCTCCAATGCTGATTCAGGATGTCTAGGGAAAGGCCCTGCAGCTTTGTGTTCATCAGACCTTTCCAGGTGTTTCTAAGTTCCAATCAGGGCTAAGAACCCTGTCTTGGTGGTTCTGGTTGGAGGCTCTGCAGCACTTTGTGAGATGTGAGCGGGTGGGGCGTACCAAAGCGTTACAGGCACCCTCAAGAGAGGCCAAGGATCCTTGGAATTCTGCTCCCTGTTGACTGTCCTGGGGCCTTGGAGAGCAGTCACCCAGTGAAGAGCAGGTGGGCAGGCCCTCCCTGTGTCAGGTGTTCTATGCGGAATTTAGGGGCCGGGGAGGCAGGGAGCACAGAGGAAGCCTTTTGGAACAGGAGGCCGAGTGCTCACATGGGACGAACCAAGGGCAGGCAGGTTCAGCTGTGTAACTGGGCGGGCAGGCGGCTGCGGCCCATGCCTTGTGGTTTGTGAAGCACAGGAAGGTACCAGTTCTGCCCGTTGATGACATGAGGGCAGGAGCCACTCCTCGAGGTGAACACTGCCTCCTCCCAGGAGGGTCCTTGAAACGGCAGAGATTTCTAGGAGGAAGAACTTGTGAAGAGCATCACTTTTGGACGCCCTAATGGTTCTATTAGAAAGAGAGTTCTATTAGTTTGAGGTTTCAGAATCCCCCGAAACCAGGACCAGTATCTTGGGAAGGGTCAGGCCTGGACCCTGGACAGAGTATGAGTATGTGCAGATGGCATTCCTGAGGATTCAGGGCTTCAGTGAACCGTGAGTGCTCCAGCTGCGTAACTCACTGAACTGTCTTGCCAGTTTCTACACTGGCTGGACTGGGCATAATTCAAAAAGGAAAAGCTCATATTCATTCCATTCTTCTGCAGCTCTGTGATAGCATTTAATAACACCCCAATGGGATGTCTTCCACTCTTGGCTGCTACGTGCTAAGGGCCAAATGTATTGGGTTGACCAAAAAATTCATTCAGGCTTTTCCACAAGATGGTATGGAAAGCCCTAACAAACTTTTCGGCCAACCCGATAAGTTGTCTGCAGTCTCCAGAGCAACCCCGTGGAGTATTCTCACCTGCTCCATAGGTGAGGACACGAGTGTTCAGAAGTCAACAACTTGCCCAGAGCAGCAGGGCCTGTGGGCAGGGCTTGTCACTGCCTTTGTCATCTGCCTGCGTCATGATGGTATGATGGGAAAAGTCAGACCAGAGGAGCCCCGGGTTTAGAAGTGGTCAGAGTGGATGGGCAGGGGCCAAAGAAGCCCTGCTACAGTTTTCCTGGCACCAGCCTCAGGCCATAGCCGTGATGAGAATAGGATGAACCCTGCCACGTCAATGCTCTGTGCCCCTAGATGCTGTGGAGTGGAGGGGGCAGGGCTGCAGGGACCACAGTCAAGGGCAGGCCTAGCGTGGGAGCAGCAGCAGAGAGGGTCTTCATTAATCTCTATTTGCTGGCAACTCTTGATAACAACTATCGACAACAACAAGCCTGTCCCAAAATAGCAACGTGGCCCTGACCCTCCCTCGGAGCCTCCTTAATTTGAAACCCACCATCTGTCAAATGACTGAAAAGGAGACACTGCTCATCTGTCACTTCTGTAACCAGCTATCACCTTCTCACAGCAGCAGGGCTCCCACCTCGGCCCCCTCGGAGTCTTAGCTGCTAAGCCCTCGAGTTCTGTTTCTAAATGGAGCAGCTACCATCGCTCCCCTCCCAGAATTAGCAGGTGGTGATGCCTAAACGTTCAGCTGCCTGATCTAGAACATCAGAATGGGAAGGGCCCTGAGAGATCACTGTGTGCTTCTGTGGAGTTTGTTAAAAAAAACAGCAACAACAAAAAAAACGTATCTTCTCCCCAGCTCTGATTCATTGGTAGTGACTTCTGGGCACACTGGGTTGAGAAGGATTCTGAGGCCCGGCCTAGTTTAGGAGAGAAGAGTTCTGTGAGTGTTAGCGGTGTCTGACATGAGACAGGGGACTGCCCTTCGTGGCCAAGTTGTTAGCTGTGTAACACGGCACCAATCTCTAACCTCTCTGAGCGGTGGCTTCCTCGTGTGTCAGTGGGCGATAATGGTAATGCTGCCTCCTTTACTGGCTTCTCAGGAGACGCAAAGGATGTGAATAGCAGGAAGGTGTTGTGTGATGGTGAATTGCACCTTGTTTTCTTGCATTGCTGCACTTTGCTTTTCTGGGGCAAATTCCCAGCCTGCAAGACGTGAGCTCCAGCCGTGGGTGCGCATTAAATGCTTGCCCAACTCTGTGTTGAACCCCGGGTGTGCGGCGCACCTGGGGTGGGGAGGGAGGGGGCGGTGGCTGGGTGGTACAGAGGCAGGCCCCTGACCGCACACGCGGGACCCGGCTGTTCATCTACAGCGAGTATCTAGGGGCAAGGGGAGACGAGCGGGAAGCCAAGCTGGGGAAAGCGCCCCATGGACTTTAGAACTCAGGAGACAGAAGGCGAGGTCACGGAGGGTCGGAGGCAGGTGGAAATGGGAGGATGGGGTTGTGGGCCCCTGGAGCCGCACCTGTCCCAGTTGGAGAGCTGGCTCTGGCTGGCGGCCATCAGCAGGATGTCGTCAATCTCATCCTCGATGCGGAAGGGGTGCTGTGAGGTGGGCTCATCCTCGGGGCAAGAGTAGGGGCTCATGTAGGGGTGCTGCAGCCCCATCTCGGCGGTCAGGCGATCCATGGGGTTAAAGGTCAGGATCTTCTCCAGAAAGTCGATGGCTGTGGGGAGCAGAGCAGGGCGGGATGGTCACTGGTGCCCTTGCCACGCTGAGAATGAGACCCCTCAGTGAGGGGATGTCCCCGAGTGTCTGTACTTTTCCATTTGTGAAGGGGCTTCTTACCGGTTCCCTTTCTCATGACCCTCACCACAGTCTAGGGACAAATTCAGAGCAGATGCTGCTTTCTGACTCCACAAATGAATTAACGGAGGGGTTACCCTGGTAGCTCAGCTGGTGAAGAATCCACCTGCAGTGCAGGAGACCCGGGCTTGATCCCTGGGTTGGGAAGATCCCCTGGAGAAGGGATAGGCTACCCACTCCAGTATTCTGACCTGGAGAATTCCATGGACCATAGTCTGTGGCGTCACAAAGAGTTGGGCATGACTGAGCGACTTTTACTTTCACTTCCAGAGGGGTTACGGTCTTCCCAGGTGGTGCTTGTGGTAAAGAATCTGCCTGCCAATGCAGGAGATGCAAAAGATGTGGGCTCGATCCCTTGGTCAGGAAAATCCCCTGGAGCACAAAATGGCAACCCACTCCAGTATTCTTGCCTGGAAAATTCCATGGACAAGAGGAGCCTGGCGGGCTACAGTCCATGGGGTCGCAAAGAGTTGGACATGACTGAGCATCCACATACATACAATACATACAGAGGGATAGAAGTGACTTGTAAGATAAGGTCACCATTGGTTACCAGAGGTCAGGGCTAGAACTTTGGTTGGATTTCTGCAGAGACAAGGAATGGGGTGGAGGCACTTTATGTGGCAGTGACCCCAGGAAGCAACCCCCCCCCCCCAGGAAGGTGGCGGGTGGGGGAAAAGCCCGCTGAGGAGGTGCCAGTGAGCAGTTCCAGCTGAAGGCACCTGGGGCTCCGTTCCACCGGGTCCTCCGAGTGACAGCGTGGGACGCGCCTCAGAGGTGGTCCCACCTGGAGGGGGGAAGCGGGGCATCTCCACCCCCACCATCAGGTGTCGTGGGTTGAGTGCAGCTGTGGGGGGAGCTGGTGGAGGACTGTCCTGTAGGACCCAGCAGTAGAAAGCCTGAGTGAGAGCGGTCACCGTGGAGGTGGCGGGGGGACAGAGCCTGCCAGCCCGGGGCTCCTGGGTCCAGAGCTCTTCTCCCACATGTTGCCCCTGGAGGTTTGACAGATCAAGGCTGTCTTCTTCAAAACCTCCTGCAGGTCTGCTCTCTTCCCCCCACCACCACCCCCAGGTTTCAGCTGGAAGTTGGTGCCCGGGGGAGCCTTGGAAGCTCTGATTGAAGATGGCAGATGGCCTGTGTCCCAGGCAGGGGCCCCTCGTCTGGACTTGAGCCGATCAGTGACTACCTTGCTAGCGGGTGGGCCACGGAGATCTCCCATCTATCGGCTACAGCACCGGCTTCCCCTTAGCTCATAACCGCCACCCTCACTCCCTAGCTCATTCTCCTTCAAGTTCACCCTCCCACATGTTTTTGGGTTTTTTGGTGTTCCTGATACAGTGTGGCTCTCATCCCCTCCCCAAATACCTAGAGCTCTCGCTGGCCCCTTAGGGCGTGTTCCTTCCTCTGCTCATCTCTGACAGGTATCCGTCTTTGCAGGTAGACCATCCATCCTGTCTCTGGTTTCTCTGAGACGGGCCCACCATGTTCAGAGGGGCTGCTGCGTGTAGTGGTTTGGGAAGAGGCATGGATGACTCGTCCCTGATCCAGAATTTCTGAGAATTCTGAACCTCCTGTCACATGGCAGGATTTCTACAGAGGCCCAAGAATCAAAGAAAATGTGGATGGGCTGAGACTTAATTTGTGGGGAATCAAATTGCCTCTCTCCCTTAATGATGGGAACGCTGAGACAGTTTATTGATTGAAAGGGGATCATGGCCAAAGACACTGTTAGTCCAAGTTCTTGGTTTCTTGATGGGGAGGAGTGTGGCAGAGACGGTAGCTTGTACACATGTCTGTTCTCCTCTTTCATAGTCATGGACGTGGACACACAGTGGCTTTGGGATCAGTTTCTATCTCACAGCCTCACTGCAGCGAGGTGGGGCCAGGTGACTTAAGTTCTGGCCAGCAGGACATGAATGGAGGTGAAGTGTCCAAATCCTGGCTCATGACATTAGAGGCAAGGGGCTGCCCTCCTCCCCCACCTTCCTCCAAGGGGTAAGGGCAGCCCCCTAAGGTGGTAGAGATATAAGACAGAAGGGGCCCTGGATCCCTGGATGACTATTGACCAGGTCTACCTCAGTGCCCCTGGACTGTCTACTTTAGATTCTTATGTGAGAGAAATAAACTCCTTTTTTTTTTTTCTTAAATAAGAAACAAATGTCATTTAAGTTGTTGAGAATCTGGGTTTCTCTTACAATTGGCCAAACCTGTATCCTATCTGCTATAGGAATTTCCTCAAGCAGAGGATGAGATGGTCAGATAGCATCACCGACTCACTGGACACGAGTCTGAGTAAGCTCTGGGGGCCAGTGGAGGACAGAGGAGCCTGATACTGCAGTCTAGGGAGTCGCAAAGAGTCAGACACGACTTAGTGACTGAACAACAACAAGGAAGCCTCTAGCAGATATGAGACTGGTGATGTTCTAACATCTCAGATAATGGAGAAACTATCCTATGCCAAGGACTGTACAAATTCTGTTTTACTTACTCATCACAATGAGCCTATGTGTCATGTGTTACTCTACCCATTTTACAGTTAGGGAAACTGAGATGCAGAGAAGTTAAGAAACTTGCCCAAAGCTAAACAGCTAGTCACTGGTGGAACTGGGAGCTGAGCCTGGGTCAGGCTTTGAAGCTGATGAAACCGTACCATGCCTTCCAGAGGGAAAAAAGTGAAGGGAGGCGGGGGAGAGGGAGGGAGGCAAGTGAGAAGGAAGGAAAAGGAAGCAAACTCAGGGTTGAGTATGGAGGACCAGCAGTGGACTGCCTTGAGCGTGGCCTGATGGCCGAACTCGGTCTGGAAGCAGCGAGGACCTTTGCCCGCTGCCAGGGGGTCCCCCGCTTCTGTGTCTAGGGGCACTGCCTGCTCTCGGGCCCCAAGGTGAAGCCACGGCGCAGAGCGCCCCCTCCGGACGCGGCCGGGCAGTCAGGCGGCGGTACCTTCACTGTTCACTTCCGGGAGCAGCTTGCGCAGCGGCCGCTTCACCTCCCAGGTGCTGCTGACGAAGGAAGGCATCACCTTGAGCAGCTCGTCCTTGTCCTCCTCCCGGATGACGGGGACAGTCTCCAGGATGAGCTGCATCTGCTCCAGCTCGTGAGCCCCTGGGGAGGCAAACGCCAGATGGTTACGCCTGCCGCCCACCCGGCTGGTGGGTGTGGAGACCCCAGCCTAGGAGCCTAGGACAGTGGGAGCCCGGGGCCCTGGGTTCACTCTGCTGCTCACTGCTGGGTGACGGTGGGCAGCTTGCTTGCCATCTCTGGGGCTTGGTCAAATGCAGAAAGAAGGGGTAGTCTCTGGAGCCCCATCCTTTCTCTTAGCATTCTGTGCCTCCGGAATGGTCCAGCCTCATACAGCCTGAGTCAGCCCGCGCTAAAATGATGGGAGCAGCCCGACCCGGGGCTTTCCAAGCGTTCTTCCTATGCACCTCTGTGCATGCCCTTTACCAGGCTGGGGGAAGAAGCGATTTGAAGCCTAGAAATGAGTCTTACCTTTTGGATTCCCATTAGGAGGGGAAAAAAACCCCAGGAATAGTAAATTAAGTTTGGGACATGTCATGAGCGCTCCTCCCTCCAGGGGGAGGAAGACCGGGTGTCCCAGGTCTGTGGGACAGGACGGAATGGCTCATTCAAGCACTCATTCACTCACTCATTCGTTCATTCAACAAATATTTATGGGGTGTCATCTCCCTGCCAAGGATCATGCTAGATGCTGGGAATGAATAGCATCTTCATCCATAAGAAGCTTCAGGCTTTCTGCTTCTCGGAAACTCGAGTCCTCTTTCACACCCAGGCCATCGCTGACGCTGTTTCAGAGCTTTGATGCTGCTGGGATGGGTCAGGTCTGAATCTTTGCTGCCCTCTCTGGCCTCTGGGCCATTCCATTCCTTTTGTTTTCCCTTTTTGCACGAGTAGCCTTGCCATTCACCTCTACTGGGTTAAATCCAACCAAGCCTGGTCTTTCTTCCTGACTCATCCAGCTGCACAGAGCGACCCCCCCACCCCAACCACCGATTTCTGTGGGGTCCCAGTCTTCCAGAAGCTGGAGGCCAAGGGCAGGGCTCTCCCATGTCTCCCCGACGATGCCGTGTGTGGCACTAGGCACGTGTGAATGCTGACCCAGAAAGTGCCAAAGCGTCAGCGTCTGCTCCGAAGGAGTCACTTGGCTTCTCCCTACAGTGGACTCAGGTAGGGTCAGTTCAGGGACTCTGGGAGCCTGGCGGGGTCCCCTCTCTAAATGAGCACTCCGGATCGACCTCTCACAGTGGCAGGGAGAAGGGAGAAAGGAGCTGAAAAAGTAGGATGGGTATTTTCATGGGTCAGTCTCAAGGTGTGTGAAGAGACATGATTTCTTGATTTTGGAAGTTTAGTGCTCAAGAAGTTGTGTTTTTTTTTTAGCCTCTCTAGTATTTTGCCTGAAATAGTTGATAACAAGTTGCCTCCACGTAGTGCCGTCAAAGTCAGAGGCAACCTCAAAGAGGAGGATAGCAGGTTTTGTGACTAGCATGTTTCCCCCCCAGCCCTCCTTTATTGAGCTGCAGCAGAGGGGTAGGAGGGTGGCCCAGGTAGCAGCTTACCAGCAAAGAGCATCCTGCCCGTGAGCATCTCAGCCAGGATGCAGCCGGCGGCCCACATGTCGATGGCTTTGGTGTAGTTGTTAGGGGAGAGGAGTAGGCGCGGTGAGCGGTACCACTTCGTTACCAGCCCTTCTGACAGGTAACCCTGGAAGACAAAACCCCGGCTTCCAATGGTCAGTCATTTGTAGACACCCTCCCTCCCAGAGGGCTTCCCTGGTGGCCCAGCTGGTAAAGAATCTGCCTGCAGTGCGGGAGACCTGGGTTCCATCCCTGGGTTGGGCAGATCCCCTGGAGAAGGGAGAGGCCAACCACTCCAGTATTCTGGCCTGGAGAAGTCCATGGACTGTATAGTCCATGGGGTCGCAGAGTCGGACATGACTGAGCGACTTTCACTCCCTCCCACACCTGTCTTCCTGTCCCTTCTCAGGGAGAAAGGACCCCTTTCACTCTCCATCCTTTCCTGTTGATCATCTGTTTAGAGAGGTTCAGGCAGGTTTGAGGGGCTCAAAGACTTTGGAGGGGAATCTTATGAGGCCCTGGAGTTCTGTTCTGTGGAATGGGACAGGATGCTACTATTTAAGGAGCAACGCTTTCCCTCCCCATCTTGATTGTAACAACACGTAACACTCTACCCTCATCTAGTAAGAAGACGGATAAACAGGAGCCGTACTTGAGTTCATTATCACCATCAACGGAGTAATGATGAGAAACTGGAATTTCATTTATTCAGTGGGCTGAATCTCAGAAATAGCTGGAAAATGGAAATCAAGCCAGTTGCTTTGGCGCTGATAATTAATTCTGCTACAATGCCAGACACCAATCTCCTGCAGGGAATGGACGAAGCCAGATTCATCATGGGTGTGGGTGAAGGGCTTGGGGGAGCAGCCCTAAAAAGGCAGTCTTGGACACAGCTTTGGTTGGCCCAGAGGGTTCTGGGAGTTCTACAGAGTGTGGGGTGGATGTTCTGATTTCAGCCACTGCTCAGTGTGTGGCCTGGGGGGGAAGCCCTTCCTGTGGGAAATAATGACGTCATAGGTGCTTTAGGGAAATATAGCCAGGCCATGTGGAAATTGTTCTCTGTGTAATTCAGAAAGCATGTGCAACAGTGAAATCTGCAAAATGTCTATTTGCATTACCTGGAACAGTCTCTCTAAAGTGAAAAAACAGACCTATTTGGTGGTCAAGGTCAGACAGTTAGCACCAGGGGTATCCAGTCAGGGAGTCTAGGGAACACTTTGTTATTTGCTGTTGTAATTTCCAATTTGGCATCTAATTTTCCTTTTTTGCTGAAGTAGAAAATATCACAGACCCAGGTTAAAACAGAGGTAAAAGTTAGGAAGCTCAAGTACCCAGGAGCTTTTAATCAATTAATCTGAAATCTCTTCACTTGTTGAGCAGATTTATTGTGTTTAAAACCCGAGGGCCCTCAGTTACGGCAGTTTTCTCTCCTCTGTGACACATGGTTCTTCAGAGCGGGACCTCAAACTGGCGGAAGAAAGGAAGAAAAGGCTAGAGCACCCCCATTCCCCAGCCTCGAGGCTCCCAAGTGAGTTCTTTGTAATTTTTAAAACGTGCCCCCTTAAAAAAAAAAAAAAGAATACGTGCCCCCTTTCTCTGTCCTTTAGGCCTTTGCGTGTGTTACCTTCCAGGGATGGGTATCTTCACACCCACTGTCCTTCCCGGCTAACTCACTCCGGCCTGCTTCCTCTCCAGAAGCTTCCCAGCTCCCTGGGATGAAGTTGAACGCCCCCTCCCAGGAGCTCCACCATCCCTGTTTTGTCACTGTTTCTTTACTTCTCTGGGGCTTCCCTGGTGGCTCAGTGGTAAAAGAATCTGCCTGTAATTCAGGGGATGTGGGTTTGTTTTCTGGGTAGGGAAGACCTCTTGGAGAAGGAAGTGGCAACCCACTCCAGTATTCTTGCCTGGAAAATCCCATGGACAGAGGAGCCTGGTGGGCTGCAGCCCCTGGGGTGGCAAAGAGTGGGACATGACTGAGCACTTTACTTCTCTGCAGTTGCCGTCCCACCTGCCTCACCCAGCCAACCCCTGGGACCACTGGACAACTCCCCCTCATGGGCAGAGGCTGTATCTTGTTTCCCAGCCGTTTCTGCCTTGCTCGATTCTGTCCCATGTCTGCCTCCTAGGAAATGTCCAATGAACACTGTTGAGTGGATGGACAGATGAATGAGTAAGGAAAGTCTCGCATGGTCTGAGTCCTTTCAAAATGGGGCACCTTCTGCAGGAACCACTGATCCCTTTCTTTAACAGACCTGATTTTACAGGGAGATCCAATTCCCACTTTTAGCAGTGGGTGAGAAGTTTACAAAAGTTGATGGCTTTTGCCTTATGCTTTGCCTTGTTCCAGAAAGGATTGGCAAGTGGAATTTTTTTTAAAGCCAGGTTTATTGATGTATAATTTATAAACAGTAAAATTCCCTTTTTAATGTATAGTTCCATGAGTTTTGATTGTAACCACCGTCACAATCAAGATGTATAACAATTCTATTATCTCACACAATTCTCTCCTGCCCGCTTCAGGTCACCCCCCAGCCCCAGTTCCTTAGAAACCACTCTTTTCCATTCCTTTAGTTTTGCCTTGTACAAAATGCATATAAATGGAATCACGGTGTGTGGCCTTTTGAATTGAAATTCCTTTGCTTAGCCTAATGCATCTGGACTCATCCCTGTGGTTGCAGTGGTTGGGGAGTAGTTTGTGAGGAGTTGAAGTCTGAGTCTCAAAATGAGAGACAAGCCCAACTGTAGGTGTGCACATCTGGGGAGGTGGGTTATAAATAAAGAATGGTCCAACGTTATTCTCCAGCCAGAGGGTACGAGTGTCAGAGGAAGGCTAAAGCAGAGTGCTCATTGAGGAGGATACTGAGGGGAGTTTACTCTGATGAGCAGGCTGATATGGAATTCCCTATAATTAACACCTGTCTATCTGCAGAATCTGGGACTGAAGTGGATGCAGGGGGCTTCCTTCTGAAGCACCTGCCCTGAACCCCTGAACGTAAAAGATGTTTGCAGAGGCAAGGCTGCCCCTGATGTGTTTCAGGAGCCATAGGACAGAGGTGAAGAATCTGCCTGCAATGAAGGAGATGTGGGTTTGATCCCTGGGTCAGGAAGATGCCCTGGAGACGGGAATGGCTACCCACTCCAGTATTTCTGCCTAGGAAGTCCCGTGGAGAGAGGAGCCTGGCGGGCTACAGTCCATGGGGTGGCAAAGAGTTGGACACGACTGAGCGACTCACTCACTCTCTTTCCGTGGCTTCTGCCAGGCTCTGGAGCAAAAGGAGCCTTGGGGAAGGAGGGACGGGGCAGGGGTACGGCCGCTTCTGGGTCAGGGCAGACATGGGGGTGGGGCTGGGGGGGGTGGGACGGGGATTTCTTTGGAAGGTCCTGGGGAGGCCTGTGCCTCTAGTAGGGCTCCTGCAGACTCCACTAGAGGGAGGGCATTCGTGGAGCTCTGGTGGCGGCTATAGGAAGCCTGGAGAGGCTTGCAACTCAGGTGCTCTCTGGGTAGCCAGGGGTTAACAGGTTCAGGAAGGCCCCTGTGAAGGGGGTAGGAATGCACACGTGGATCCTGTCTGGGTCAAGGGAAAGAGGAGTCAGGCTACGGAGAAGTAAGAACTTTTGAGCTTGAGGGGGTCAACGGGGCCGTGGCACGGATGCTGAGATTTTGTGGAGGCGCAAGTTCTCAGAAGAGCTCCTGGCGGATGTGCTGTGGAAATCAAAGGCACGTCACCCAAGGAATGGGAAAGACGGGGTGCTTAGAGCCTGGGGAACATTGCAGAGGGCATGAGAGCTGCCTCTGGACATACACAGGGCTGTCATACGGATGGGGAGTTAAGCTTGTTCTCTGAGGCTCTAGGGACAGGCGTGAGCCATGGCATGAGGCAGAAATCCAGGCAGTATAATAATAGCTCACGCTTACTGAGATACTTGAACTGCTCTCATGCTTCCTAGGGATTAACTCTTTTAATCCCTGCGACAACCCCATGAGTTAGGGACTCTCATGACAGTCACTTGACAGGGAGGAATCGGAGGCACAGAGAGGGTAAGCAACCTATCCATGGTCACCCAGGCTGCAAGCAGCACAGCTGGGATGCAACGCCAGTTTGGGACGATGTAGTCCCTGTGATCTGAATAGATGGCTGAACTGCCTTTCGAAGAAAGAGAGCCCTCGAATCCACCAGGCTGTCCCAGGGTGGGGCTGGGCTCCTAGGCAGACAGGGATGGACAAGCTGATGGGAGATGAGCCAGCAGCACCCTCCAGGCCGCAGATCCTCAGACTCTGGCTCACACTTGAATTCTTGGGGACCTGGGCTAAACACGTGCAGATTCCATTTCATCAGGCCAACAAGGTGGTGCTGATGCTGCAGGTTGGGGGACTGCATTTGGACCAGCAAAACCCTGGATGATCTTTAATATCCTGCCCTGCCCAAGGGATTGATGCCTTGCTCACAGGCCAGGCAGATTTCTTTAACTGAGCAGCAGACTGACCTGTAATAGGGGTTAATTCTTTGTGTTACAAGCACTCATCAAAAGATCATTTAGAAAAACACCACCTTCTCAGAGGCCCAGTTTAAACAGAAATACACGGCTTCCCTCTCCACAGCCTCCTTCCTCCGAAGGTATAATTCTTATTTGTGCCAATATCCATATCAGGCATGTTAGAAGCCTTTTAAAACAGAAAGAACACCACAGAGGAATCGCCTTTCTTCTTGCTGACTCCAAACTCATTCTGTTAAACTCATTTCCATGAAAATATGCAGCAGGGACTCTCTCAAGCTGAGGGAAGGAACGCACAGTCTTACAAGCCCAGTATACAACGCAATCATTGGTAAGTCACTGGGTACGTTCTGTTTACAGCTTCCCTGGTGGCCCAGTGGTAAAGAATCTGCCTGCTAATGCAGGACATGTGGGTTCCATCTCTGGATCTGGAAGATCCCCTGGAGAAGGAAATGGCAGCCCACTCCAGTGTTCTTGCCTGGAAAATTCCATGGACAGAGAAGCCTGGTGGGCTGCAAAGAGTTGGATACCACTGAGCAACTGAGCATGCATGCACATTCTGTTTATGCAGCTAAAATACACATGGTGAACAGTGTGGTTAAATCAGCTGCCCTGAATTTTCATTAACTTCTC